GGGGGCGGGCGGGGGGGGCCTGGGCGCAGCCCTGCTCCTTCCCTGCGCTGTGTCGTCCATCAGCTGCACAGGCTGCTGTTTTTCTGGCAGAGGAATGTGAGGGTCAGCAGGAGGCCCGGGCCTATCAGAGGGGCAGCGTGGCGGCACAGGGTCTGTTCCCCAGGGAGCTGTCCTCTCCCGGCGATTTTCTTTAGGAGATTGGAAATGTATTTCGCTCAAAAGTTCTTGGCATCTGGGTATGATAGGGCTACTTGCAAGGGTAGGAGAGTTCTTTTCATAAACGCTCCTGACTGTCCTGGGTGCCAGGTGTTCTGAGGGATGAGAAACAGGAGGCGCTTGGTCAGCAACCTGCTCGCGGCCTCCAGGCAGGTGCCCTGGCTGGGATCCGGCTGTGCCTGGTGGGTCTGATAAAGCTGTAAGACGGCAGGAGAGGGCACGCTCTTTGCAGGAGTTCAAACACGTATCCAAGAGGAATGAGAAGACAGAGTAAGATACAACTGAAATAAATGTGTAGACAAAGACGGGGGTCAGTCTGCACGGGAAGCGCAGAAATCCTTGGGGGATAGAGGCAACAGAGGCTGTCTGCATGGGAGGGTGAGGGCCCGAGCTGTCCATCCTGGTGGGAGCTTTCGGCAGTTGATGGTGGGTCACCAGGCCAACGACCTCTGCACCCTGTGACCTGACGAACCCCTGCCCGCGTCTGCCTGTTTTCTCTCTGCCGCAGTGAGTGGCTGATCCAGCATTAAGCTGCATCTGTCTCTGTTCTTCAGTTGTTTTGTGCGTTCACATCTCAGCTCCCTTACCAGAGGACACACTTTTGGAGGGGGAGGGGGAGAGTGGGGCGGGAGTGGAGGACTGCCTATATATGTATTCTTAAATATTTCTAAACGTAGTGTGATTGGCACATGTGTAGGAAGTTTTGCTTTGTTGCTGAAAGTTTTAGATGACGGTAGCTGGAGTGGTTCTTAAATGCTCGTAGAGGATGTTCAGCACCAGTTATGTGTAAAGACCTTACTGAGCGTAATTGGTTTGCATGCTTCTAGTTGGTTTACTCTTGATTTCTTTTGCTTGAAGAAACATTTCAGTGTCCCGAAAACGCTTTTTGTGTATGTGCAGCTGCAGACATTTCCCCCTCCGAAACCCCTGCTTGTGGGATTTTCCTGGACTTTGCGACAGCCTCACGCCGCCAGAAGAGTCGGACTCAGGCCCTTAAGCAAAAGTAGGTGTGTTGGGAACTTTGCAGAAGGAATTAGGGAGTTTTAATACACTTTTCTTCAACGTACCCTTAAAAATTAGCTCTTGTTTTGTTTTCACTGCTGGCATTCAGGCACGTGATTTCATTTGTGCTCCGTTTCCCTGTGTCCAGATGTTGTGACCTGGTGCGGGTGTGCAGTGCTGTAGACAAACTCAGCCCTAGCATTGGTGTTAGTTCTGGGGGGCCCTGGGAGCCCCCATGTCATGGCTGCGGCAGCGTCACAGTCAGGGGCCCGCGAGGCTGGTGGCCGGAACCCCGAGCAGAGAGTCGGCCTGGCCCAGCCTGCGCCTGTGGTGCTGCCCCCTCCTGCCCTGTGGTTGGCGTCACTCAGGGCCAGGGCTCTGTTTCTCGCGTGAGGAAGCTGGGGGTTCGTGGGTCAAGAGCCCCACGCTGGCCCGGGCGCTGTGCCTCCTGTGTTGATGTCCTCCATGGGTGCCGCAGGCCAGTTGTGTAGACAATGAAGTGCAGGCCCCGGGTTAGCTTCTGGTGGAGGTGGATGTGAGCTTTGAACAGCCAGCGCCACCAGGCGTCAGAGTCCAAGCTTACACGACTGCGAACTCAGAGATTTGCAGAATTCCTAGATTCATGAAAGTGGAGAACAGAATCTCAGCCCGTGGTCTGCTGTACTAAACCCAGTACAGTCTGGGAGCAGATGCAAGAGTCCACCCACATCTGGGATGGACGCAATAGGTTTAGAGAGAGTGGGATCGGCCAGGGAGACGCGCTGGCAGAGTGGGCTCTCCCGCCCCTGGGTCTCACGGCCACCAACCTCTGCAGCAGCACGGCTCTTCCAGTGTCTTATCAGATGAAGGTGGGGGTGAGGGTGGACAGGGGCTCGCCTGGCTGGACGCGTCCCTCGGGAGTGGCCAGGGCTCAGTCCCTCAGAACGGGGTGGGCGGCGGGCAGGTGGGATGGGGGCCTGAGGGCGCCGACGGCACAGGCGGGGGTTTCAGCCCCGGGGCCTCGCTGTACACGCGTGAGTTCCCACCTTAGTGACTGTCAGTATCTCAGGCTCCCATCAGACAGACCTTCACGAGCCCCTTGGCCGGAGCCGCCAGCTCCTCCTGAGGCTCCCTCCCCCGGCCCATTCTTCCCTTTGCACGTGGTTGAGGTCGCGTCATCTTGTTTCCAGGACACGCAGCACAAAGCTGCTCCGGCTCATCGACCTGGACTTCTCCCTCACCTTCTCCCTTCTGGCCCTCCCACCAGCGAATGAGTACGACACGTACATCAGAAACTTCGGGAAAAAAAACACCAAGCAGGTGAGTACAAGGTTATCTACCAAGTGCGAGTACAGTGCGTTGGCAGGAGTTTGTGTGGCGCTGTGTCCTGTTCCGGATGTTAGACCTGGGAGTGGTTGTGAGGGACGCAGACGTCATGTGCTCGTCACCTGGAGGTTGTGCCAGCGTCCTCGGCACCCTGGAGGCTCCTGGGCATGGATGTGGATCGCTCCCAAGCCCTGAGGACAGCCCCAAGTAGGGGGGTTACTGAAGGTCACCGGGAAGTCACCTCGGATCACTTGCTTGGGTTCCTGTGGGGCTGTAGCGTCCTGCACTGCTTCCGAGTCCTGCACGTATGTTCCTGCATGTAGGGACTCCAAGATCAGCCACCGAGTGCCTCCCAAATCCCAAGACACTGGGCTCACCTCAGTATCCCTCCTGCCTGTTCCATTCTCCTCACCCTCCTCTCAAGGTCTTCCTGTGCCAGGCCCCCCATCACCTGCCTGTGGATCCCCCTTACCTTCCCAGGCTCCCCCATCACCTGCCTGTGGATCCTTCTTGCCAGGTCCCTTTGTCATCTACCTGTTTTTCTCCATCACCTGGCTTAGGCCACGCAGCCTCTCCTGCCATCTACCTGCCTGTTGCTCTCTGTCCTTGTTCTGCCCTCTAGGCAACTAGGTGACCCCTCCCCAATGACTTAACGCTGTGTCCTCTGGCTCCAGGGTTGCTACAGTACGACCCACACAGCCCTGTCTTTCCCTGTAGTACTTGCAGTTGTTGACTGTGTGACAGTCCACCTCCCGAGGTGGTGAAGTCCTGGAGTCAGGGATCTCCTGGGACGTTTTCCTTCTGCCCCCACAGTGCACCTGCCAACACGCGCTTGGATGTGTCAGTCCGTAATCTTTCACTGGGGGAGGGTCGCAGAAGGAGATTCGAGAAGCTGTGACTGGCTAACCGCGGCTCTGCAGCTGCCTCTCTCTGACCTCGAGCAGACTATCTAACTTCTTTTGCTTGTTTTCCTCATCTTTTTTTTTTTTTTTTTTTACCCCACATTTGTTTACTTATTTATTTATTTGGCTGCGTTGGATCTTCGTTTCTGCGCAAGGGCTTTCTCTAGTTGCGGCGAGCGGGGGCCACTCTTCATCGCGGTGCGCGGGCCTCTCACTGTCGCGGCCTCTCTTGTTGCGGAGCACAGGCTTCAGACGCGCAGGCTCAGTAGTTGTGGCTCATGGGCCCAGTTGTTCCGCGGCATGTGGGATCTTCCCAGACCAGGGCTCGAACCCACGTCCCCTGCATTAGCAGGCAGATTCTCAACCACTGCGCCACCAGGGAAGCCCTGTTTTCCTCATCTTAAAGCTATTAGTATCAAAACTGTCTTTGCTGAAGCATGTACATTTTTGAAATAAATAAATTTGTGTCTGGTTTTGCAAAGCTGCTGTGTTCTAAGAATAGGGTGTTGGTGGACTAGGTCATCGTCTTTTCAAGCCAGAGCTGAATTGTTTGTTGTGACTTTTTGAAAACGCTTTTGAAATTTAGGCCCATATTTATCAAACGTTTAAGACACAACCAGTCTTTGCATGATTGTTATTTATGCCATATGCTTACTTTTGACAGACTAGAAGACTGTCATCATTAACTTAAAAATTGTTAGTTGTTTTCAGCAATGAGAAATGGCTCTGAGGTTGAGATCCAAAGCTAATTCAGCCCAGCTTTGTTTTTCAGGCCTACGTTCAGTATAATGAAGATAACGTGGACAGGAATGTCCAGACTGAAGAGGTTGAGACTCAGGAAGTGTGGACCCAGCACCCGGGGGAAGGCGCGGCCGTTTCTGGGGGTAACCAGCCTCTGCTCTCGACCCTGGGAGTTGTGTTCACTCCCTTTCTTGTTCTTTCCTCCGTCTCAAGTGTGGCTGTCACCACGTGACTGTGGAAACACCAGAGCTCTTCCAGACACCACCCTTAGCACCTGCGTGGAGCTGGAGGCCTGGGCTGGGCCCTGATCAGGGTTCACAACACTTGTTCCTAAACGGAAAGGAAAGAGTCCACACGCCAAACCAGCACTTTGCAGATGGGCTTCTAGAACACTCTCTGCTCTTAATTTGGGGTAGTCTGTTCTCATTCTTAGAGAAGTTTCATCTTTAAGTACATTTTCCAGGTATGTCATATCAAGACAGATGGAAGCCCCTGGAATATGCAGAGTTCTGCTCACCTTGGGTTCTCCTCGGTTATTTATGTGCTAAATATTGCTTTACTGGTGGTGGATTGTTCCTTCTGAGGAATTACCTCTGTTACTCCCTTTCCTCAGGGAAGCCTCATCCTAAGAAAATAACACACCTAAACGTAACACATACATGATAAACTGATGCTTTAGGTAGGATTCTGTTTACAGACTTCTGAGAAATCAGGAGGCAATCTAGAGGATGAGATGGAACCCCCTGGCTTCCCCTCCAGAGCTCCTGGTTCGCTTGTACGCCCTTTGACGTGTGCGACCGTGACCGTGAGAGTCGCCCTAGCTGGTTTCATGTGCACTGTTTTTTCAGGGAGTGAGCGGAGCAGCCCCCTTGATGCCGCCGCCGTCGTCCCAAAGGTCAACACGCCCCGCCTGTGCAGCTTCCTCCGGGCCGCTTGCCAGGTGCGCTCTGCCCTGGGCAGGGACCCCAGCAGCTTCTGTGGCTGCAGGCACTGTCTATGTGTTTGGAATCTGTACTGTAATGTTGGTTGCTTGCATTTTAAATTGAATATAGACTAAAAAACAGACATACAAAGTCAGCAAGGTGAACACACATCTAGGGTATTTGAATAGTAACCTCATGACTTTAAAAACTGGTTATGGAAATCTTCAAAGTCCGTACAAAGGTCGAGGGGTGGCAGGTGGCCACCGCGTGCTTCAGAGGTCCCAGTTTGCAGCCCTTCACCTCTTGAGCCCCACCACCCACCCCTCAGTTACGTCAAAGCAAACCACAGTCACCGTCCTGCTCCCACGTGGGTGTTTCCGCTTGAGCCCCTGGAGGAAGAGAGGATCAGGGTCCCTAGTGTGTCAGTACATCAAGTGCAAGGGCGGTGTTTGTGTCTCTTCAGTTGTCTCGTATTGTTTCCACGTCAGCTCAGAATTCAAGTCTAAAGCACCGATAAGTATAATACACATGAACCTGACATGTAGATTCAGAATGAGCCTGTCTTCAGCCCCGTGCTGGACGCCTGGTGCTGGTCTCCGAGCTGCGTTGCGGAGCGTCTGTGCTTTATGAGATACGACCGTGCTTTCACACGCTTGCACGTGATGTCAGCCGCTCTCAGTGAGAGTTCACACGCTCGGGTGCCGGTGACGTGGAGGAAAGGTGGGCTGGAGCAGGAAGCAGGGGTGGCCGGGGTCGGAGACCTTGGTCTCACTGCTGGGCCTCCCGCCCCGTCCCGTCTGTTCTCAGTGGGCGCCTCTCCCGAGTCCACCTCGCCTTTCTCTTCCCCATCGTCGTCCTGAGCGTGACCCACGACACATGAGGGCAGTGACGGCGATTTGCTGTCACACTGGGTCCTTACCGGAGCCCGGTGAGCAGGACGTGGTGCTGCAGGTGGCATTTCCATGCCCCTGTTTCTTCTAGAAAAGCTGGAGGGTCCCTTTCCCCACTCCCGTTATTTTAGCAAAAGGTTTACTATGAAAAATGGCATCCAATGTTAAATAATGGCTCTGGAGTTTATACTAATGGAACTTTACCTGGTAGTTTCTATTATTGTGCGGAAAGGACAAAATAATTTCATTCTGTCCGTTTATACGATATCTTGGACTTAGGCAGTCATTTTAAGAAACAGGTAAGATTAGGTCGTGCTTTGTTTGACCTTGTAAGATGAGTCCATTTGAGAGTGTTGAAGACGGACTGCTCATGTGTCTTTGGAAGGTGATCGCGGTTCTGCTGGAAGAGGATCGGGTGGCGTCGGAGCCGACCCGGGCGCCCCGGGCGCAGGACTGCCCCCTGCGCTTCAGCGATAGCTCCGCGCAGCTGAACACCAGCTTGCCGTTCCTTCAAAGTAAGCGGTCCTCAAAGTCAACACTGACGTTGAGGCAGTGACCCTTACTGTTACACCCTGTGTTAGCAGGGGGGTTATTGAACAGGGAGCAGAGGTCCAGCCTCTGCAGACTCGAGCGTGTGTGTTACAGGAATGACGGGCACTCACGGGTAGAGGGGCGGTGGGAGCGGCGTGAGGGAGCGTCCAGGTGGGAGTCGTGTGGTTAACTTAGCCCAGCGTTGACTTAGATTTAAGTTGATCCGTGGTTACAGAGCATAAAATCCACCGAAGTGAAGCCTGTGTCATGACACGTGGAGTGTAACTGCATGTGGTCATAAACGAAACAAACTGCGTGTGTGTGACCAAGTGTAAATTGCTTAAGTGGGTCGCCTCCTTGCTTTTAAAACAAGTGTCTGGTGAGGGCTTGGGTGGCAACCATGGTCCTGGTCTGCATGGAGAAGGGCAAGGAGTGCAGGGGCCCCACAGTCAGCTGTGCCGGGTGCTTCTGGGCCTGCGTGACCCGGTGCATCGATGCCGCTTGTTCTAGGAGTTCCTCTATCCTGCCTGCTGTAGAGATCTAGATTCGTATCCATACCTCTGCACTGACCATTAGCACAAGTGGCATTGTTAATTTAAAAAACTCATGTTGTTTGAGGGTATTTTTGTTTTTAAAAGGTAAGAGTTATCCTATTAGAAAAACAATAAATCATTGCATCTATAGCATTCAAAATACAGCTGTCCACACCACCACCTCCCCCTGCAGCCCAAGAAACAGGAATTAAAGCAGTCCTTTCCTCCAGGAGCTGATGAGCGATGGCGGCTTCACAGATCTGGGGCTGGGGGCCGGGTTGTGCTTGTTCCAGAGCCCTTAGTTAGAGACAGAGGATGCACGGGTGTTGTCCGGGACTTGCCCCTTAGTTCCGAGTGTGGGCAGAGTGGAGGTTTTTCTTGTGTTTTGTTTTAGTAAAGTGAGTTTTGAGGTAACGGGAGAGGAGATTGGGATGGCAGGTGTCCTTGACCTGGGCCTGGTTCATGTTACCTGGATCTGAGCTCCGAGGGAGTGACACGGGACCCTCACAGAGTCCGCTCGATGCCACCATTGCCAGGAAATGCGCAGCGCTGGTGGCCCACTCATTCTTCTCTGGGTTCCACAGATACTCAGGAGTGTCTGCAGTGTCCCAGGCCTTGGAGCCACAGTGGACAGACAGACAAAAATCCTGCCTCTGTAAGTGGACCGAACGAGGGGAACAGACAGTGTGTCTGAGGGACAGATATCAGGAGGAAGATGGGTGTCAGGCAGGGTCCCGTTGCCGGGGGAGAAGGCACTGATGGGGCAGCTGTGACGCCCCACCCAGGTCACCTGCTCTCCCACGGGCCCGTGGGAGTAGCTGATGGACAGCGGAGTCCCAGGCCACTTTGTGCCGAGTGTGGAGGAGGGTGGCTTCTAGCAAATGAGGCCAACTTGGACGTTTTCAAGTCGAGCTTGACCATTTGTCAAAACCCCGATTTCAGGTGCGGGCATCTTCGAAAGACCATGTTTATTTCTTCATTAAGCTGAAATGTATCTGAATAATCTTAAGTATGTTAGTTTAACGTGGATTCTGGCAGATCACTAAATGCAGAAACATTTTTCTTGTCTTATCCTCAGATCGGAGAGTATCCTGCCTGCACGCCTCTCAGGTTCAGAGGCGGATGGTGGTGTCCGTGCATGGGCGACCTGGGAAAGCCTTCACGCCCCTGCTGGATGGCAGATACGTGCTCTGCGTGTGGGACATCTGGCAGCCGTCGGGGCCCCAGAAGGTCCTGATATGCGAGTCGAAGGTACAGCCCGGGAGAGCCGTGGGTGTTACTAGCAGAGGGCAGGCACCAGGAGGGCTTCCAAGGCCACTGCTTTCTGTCCCTGCCGCCCCAGCTGTGTGCAGGGTGACGAGGTGCAGAAACTCCTAGTTGGAAGGACCAGCTGGACGGAGGGGCCAGGTTACCGCAGCCTCTCAGTCCCTGGCGTTCAGCACTGCTGTGGCTGTGACTTAATGGAAACATTGGCTCTGGCACCCCTGGGACCCCAGAAGTGTGCTTTCCGGCTTGCTCCAGTTGGTCTGGGTGTTGTAGAGGTTTCTTAATGTGCCTGAGATTTTCCAAGTCCTTGGCCTCGTGCGTTTCCTGCCCCTGGTTAGTGGGGCTGAGGTGTGACGGCCATGCGGGTACAGTGGGGGAGCTGCCCTTTTGCGCGAGTGTTTCTAGTCACGTGGTCCTTGCCCTCAAAGTCGCCGATTTCCTCCAAAGCTGCGGAGAAGGGTAACTCTTACGGGATCAGTTTCGGGGGCTTGCGGACAACTTACTGTGACGCAGGGTGTAAGTAAAACGGCAGGAGGGGTCAGCCCTTCTGGGCCACCTGATGGGGCTGAATGGAGGCGCCGTGGCCACGCCCCGCAGCCGCCATCCCTCCCATCACCCAGGGAGGCGACAGCAGACGCCCTCGGCTTCCAGGTGGAAGGTCCATGGGCACCGGTGCCTCCACTTGTCAGCCTCCGGCTTTCTGTGCATCTTTCTAGGTCACGTGCTGCTGCTTTAGCCCCTTTAAAGCCTTCTTGCTGTTTGCTGGGACTGTGCACGGCTCGGTGGTCGTGTGGGATCTGAGGGAAGATGCCAGGATCCATCGTTACGTGAAGCTGAGCGGGTGCTTCTGGACGTTCAGGACCGCAACCTTTTCCACCGGTCAGTGACACTGCCCACCAGCCCGGGGTCTTCCGGAGCAGCCGTGAGATCCCTTTGCATCGTTCACGCAGGTCATCCCAGAGGACGGCTCTGACCTAAGAGCAAAAGAGACCTCCTTCCGGCAGCTGCTCGGGCAGCGGCAGTGGTGATGGAGCGCTCCGTCCTGTTAGCTCCGGGGACTTCAGGTCCTCAGTGAGATGACGCCCAGTTTTAAATCAGTCTGAGGTGCGCTGTGTGTGCGCTCCTGTGGCTCAGGCAGCCCCACTGGAGGCTGAAGGAGAGGAGTAGTGGCCTCTCGGGGGTCAGAAGGAACCAGAACCACCGGAGCTGCCAGGACCCCTGGTTACACTCCTGTGAATACTTCCTGCCAGTGCGGCTGCTGCCACAGCCAATCACAGCCACAACCACAGCCAACTACAGCCATAACCACAACCACAACCACAATTACAGTTCCAGCCCCAGCCAATCACAACCACAACCACAACCACAATTACAGTTCCAGCCACAGCCAACTACAGCCATAACCACAACCACAACCACAATTACAGTTCCAGCCACAGCCAATCACAACCACAACCACAACCACAACCACAAACAAGGACAAGCACGACCACCACCCCACCCTGCCCCGCCCCTGCGTAGGCACTTGTGTTCCGGGGTTTTCTCATAGTGCTTTGTGGACGTGACCTGTTCAGCACCCATCTCTGCCCACCTGCCAGTGCTCAGGGCACACTGACCTCGGGGCAGGGCCTGCACTCAGACCTGTCTCTCACCGTCCTCCCTGTTCCTGCCCAGGGACACCCCCCACCCACCCACCCAACACACACAGCTGGCTTTGCGTCTCCCTGTCTTCACGATTCCCAGGATCGGCTTTTTCTCTGTAGTTTTACCTTCTCAGAAGGCAAATGATGGGACCCTGTGGGGCCCAGACCTTCAAGCCTGGCCTCCGTCCCTTCGGGAGATGTGCCTGCGGTCATGGCTGTGCGGGGCTCAGAACGTCACCCCTCCTTCTCTGGGCAGGATCCTCTGCTGGGCACCACGTGCATTTTTGCGCTGGCTGGTGGGCGGGCTCCTGGTTAATTCCTGTGGCTGGCGGTCAGGACTGGAGCCTGCACCCCAGGCGCCACGGGCTGAACGTCCTCACCCGCGGGGCCGGCAGACTTCCTGCGCTTCTGGTGGGTGCGAGTGTGCCTCGAGGTTTTATTTTGTGTTTCCCTGAGGACGTGGGATGCGGAGCGTCTCCAGGTGCTTATTTGCTGTCTGTCTTCAGTGGGGTGTGTTTAGGTCTTTCACGCATTTGTAAATTGATTTGTTGCTTCTTACTGTTGTGTTGTTCCGAGGCCTCGTGTGCTCTGGACGCAGTCCTGTGTCAGGCGTGTCGGGTGTGCCTCCTCTCCGCCAAGCAGCCTGATCGCCCCTGCCTGGAGCACCACACATATACTGCGTATCTCTTTACGTTCTCTGAGTACATCTGTGTTTTATACGTAAAAGGGCAAGGTTCCTTTTGTCTCCCAACAACCAAGTTTTGCCCCTTTGGGGGTGAAATTGCCACTGTTGAGAATGTATGAGTTTATAGGCACCTTATGGGTTTGATGCTGTCAGAAAAGGTACCTCCTAAGAATGTGCGTTTGCTAACTCTGCTGATATTACTAATTAAACTTTGAATTCACCACCGTGTTCAAAACACTAAAACCCTTACTTAACCTTAATTACTCCATTAACATGCTGCCTTCGTCTTCTTTTGCCATCTAAACATTGTCATTAAAGCCTTTGGAGTTTCAGTAGCCTCAGGTCCAGGGGACGCCCCTCCCTCAAGTTCATTGAATCTGAAACCCTGTCACTCTTCGTTCCTCCGTTTTGTCTTCTTTGGTTTCTTCCCTGAGTTCAGCCCGAACTCTCTCATTTTCTTTCTTGATGTTTTTTAATCCATTTTCGTTCTGGGTTTCTGATTCCAGGTGTTTTTGTTTGTTTACGTGCTTTAAATTCATTTCCAAGTGTATTTTTGAAGGGATTTCTCTGTAGTTTTACCTTCTCAGAAGGCAAATGATGGGACCCTGTGGGGCCCAGACCTTCAAGCCTGGCCTCCGTCCCTTCGGGAGATGTGCCTGCGGTCATGGCTGTGCGGGGCTCAGAACGTCACCCCTCCTTCTCTGGGCAGGATCCTCTGCTGGGCACCACGTGCATTTTTGCGCTGGCTGGTGGGCGGGCTCCTGGTTAATTCCTGTGGCTGGCGGTCAGGACTGGAGCCTGCACCCCAGGCGCCACGGGCTGAACGTCCTCACCCGCGGGGCCGGCAGACTTCCTGCGCTTCTGGTGGGTGCGAGTGTGCCTCGAGGTTTTATTTTGTGTTTCCCTGAGGACGTGGGATGCGGAGCGTCTCCAGGTGCTTATTTGCTGTCTGTCTTCAGTGGGGTGTGTTTAGGTCTTTCACGCATTTGTAAATTGATTTGTTGCTTCTTACTGTTGTGTTGTTCCGAGGCCTCGTGTGCTCTGGACGCAGTCCTGTGTCAGGCGTGTCGGGTGTGCCTCCTCTCCGCCAAGCAGCCTGATCGCCCCTGCCTGGAGCACCACACATATACTGCGTATCTCTTTACGTTCTCTGAGTACATCTGTGTTTTATACGTAAAAGGGCAAGGTTCCTTTTGTCTCCCAACAACCAAGTTTTGCCCCTTTGGGGGTGAAATTGCCACTGTTGAGAATGTATGAGTTTATAGGCACCTTATGGGTTTGATGCTGTCAGAAAAGGTACCTCCTAAGAATGTGCGTTTGCTAACTCTGCTGATATTACTAATTAAACTTTGAATTCACCACCGTGTTCAAAACACTAAAACCCTTACTTAACCTTAATTACTCCATTAACATGCTGCCTTCGTCTTCTTTTGCCATCTAAACATTGTCATTAAAGCCTTTGGAGTTTCAGTAGCCTCAGGTCCAGGGGACGCCCCTCCCTCAAGTTCATTGAATCTGAAACCCTGTCACTCTTCGTTCCTCCGTTTTGTCTTCTTTGGTTTCTTCCCTGAGTTCAGCCCGAACTCTCTCATTTTCTTTCTTGATGTTTTTTAATCCATTTTCGTTCTGGGTTTCTGATTCCAGGTGTTTTTGTTTGTTTACGTGCTTTAAATTCATTTCCAAGTGTATTTTTGAAGGGATGTGATGTAGTTTGGAGTGGTGGATTTTGGTCTTCTGTTTCTTGCTTGTTTTTTGGAGGGGGAATTTTCTTGGGTTGAAATGCTTTCATTTGCATTTTCTCTCGAGTTCCTTCGGTAGCTTTGTGTGGAGTTTGTCTGTTCTTTTCTACTCCTGGACATTTTGTAGGTGGATATGCCAGGTCAGAGGAGCTCTGTTCCATTGGACTGTGAGGTGTCGTTTCTTTAAAGGTGCTGCTCTTGGTTGCGGGGGGGGGGTGAGCCTGCAGCTCCCGAGTCTCCCTACTCCCCGTTCCCTGTGCTGCTCTGGCTGTGAGACCCCCGTTCCCCCACAGCCGGGGAGGCCCCAGCTTCTGCTCTGTCTCTGCGACTCCCTCTTGCTGTGGAGAGCCCCCCACGTGCTCTGTCCATCCTTGTACCTGCCGTCGTGCAGACACAGGGCCTGCCTCTCACAGGTGTGAGATGCTGCTCCTCGGTGATGCTGAGAGCCATGGCACGTGTCCTTTCACTGTGGTCCGTGTGGCCTTGTGCTTTGGGAAGATGTGCCTGTCCCTGCACAATGTTAACTGTATTCCACGACTCACTACGTGCATGTGGTGTCTGTGCTTTTCATCCCCAGATGGTGTCCTGACGTCTGTAAACCACCGCAGTCCCCTCCAGGCAATAGAACCCATCGCAGGGTCTGTCTGCAAAAGACAGAGCTGCCTGTTTTCACCGTTTTCTACTCAAGAAGGTACGTGACCCTTCACTTCCATAAAATCCTGAGCTCAAGTTGTGAGATGTGGTTTCCTGCTTATGAGCCGGTCCTTCCCCGGTTCTGTCTTCACTAGAGCCAGCAGGCCTGTCCTTCCACGTCGCTTCCTTGGACGAGAGTGGGGTTCTCAACGTGTGGGTGAGTCGGACGTGCGAGCGCTCACCCCAGGGTTTGCGTGGTGGTCGGTGCTGTGTGGTCGGGCTGGCAGGGGGAGATGCGTGCAGAGCAGGGGCGACCATGCAGTCAGCTATGGCGGGGAAACCAGGACAAGACGGGCTTGCTGGGAAGGCCTGTGGGAGGGAAAGGGGAGCAGTGTCAGGGCCGGAGGACGCCCAGGGCATTGACCGGTCACAGAGTGCAGAGGAACAGGTCGAAGGAGGGAATTTATAACTTTTAAACGCTAGTCTTTTTTCTGAAGCAATTCCATTTTTAGTGCCTTAATTAGAGCTCGCTTTGCTTCGACTGTTTCATGATTATTACACGTGCTGATACTCATGTTCAGTGTTCTATTTCAGGTGGTGGTTGAATTGGCAAAGGCAGATACTGCAGGTGCAGTAAGTGACTTAGGTAACTATTACATAAAAACTGAGTTTAATCAACGGTTGCTAAAATCAGTAAAGATTAAAGATACCGATAACCGCTTTGAAGAATCAGTGATTAGTGGCATGGAAAATGCAGATGGAGTTGTGTATTTTATAACCTGTCGGCTGTTGAACAGGCCCGTGTGTGTCGTCTGCTCTGTGCTCCCTGGGGGCGTCCCCGAGACTCGGTGTCTAAGGCCTGGGTGTGTGTGACCCCCAAGACCTCTGAGACTGGAGCCACCGGGGGTGGGGGGGCTCTGAGGCCGGCAGTTTGCTCTCTCGATGCCCTGAGCTGGGGCCCCGAGGGGCCCCCCCGCACTTCCTCAGCAGCTCCAGCCGCTTATTTAATGACTGTGGCCCCTTCACCTTGTTTGGGCCGGGGGCACCCCAGTAGAGCCAGCCAGAAAATAGGACCAGAGTCACTCTGACTTCTTGAAATGAGGAGGGGCCGGTGCTGTGGACCCCCTCTCTCCTGGAGAAAGGATGCGGTGGAAACCATCCTGAGGGGCCTCTCTTCTCAGCCTCGTCTTCATGCAGCATCCGCTCTGCTCCCTGTGAGCAGGGGCTGCCGTGGGTGTGGGACATCGGGCGGGGCGGGGCGGGGCTAGAGGGGCCGGAGGGGGCCTCCCCACCTGCATGGCTAACCGAAACCGGTGCGGGAGGACGTTTACAGGAGAGGGTTTCTGTGGGGAATTGGTGGTTTGTTAAATATTGATTTTTTTTCTTTTCTTGCTTAAGTGTACTTCCCTTTTTAAATCAAATCTAAAAATGTAAAGGCTTTTTGATATTGATTCCACCAACCCTCTTCCCCTAAGGCCCTGAACTGCAAATTCTTAATTCATATCCTAAGGCAATTGCAGGAACCTCCCCTGCGTGAGGGACAGAACACTCTTCATCAATCTGCATTTTTATATTATTTCCTAATTTAAGCAATGAAAAATAATTCCAGGCAAATGTAATTGGATTTTGGTTAACTTGTATTACGAGGTGCATTTACTTCTGGTTTCTCTGTTTGTAGGTTTACTACCTGGAGGGAGGATAAAGTTGGTGCACAGTGCCGCGATTCAGCTGAGTGACAGGTAGGTCTGTGCCGCATCCCTGCTCACAAAGTCCTGTTTCCCACAGGAGGAAATAGTGTTAGGTAATAAGGCATGGCCAGGCTGGCACTGAAGAACCCTAACTTCTCCCACTGTAGTTTTGCTAAATAGTTTATTTGCTACTTAGTTTATTATTAATGAATCAAAGTAATAAATGCAATTGTCCAGGTATAGAGCTAACATTTTTCTTTGATTAAAATATTTTTTGTCTTATGAATTGGTACGATTTGACTCTTTCATCCAGTTTTAATACAACCCTGAAGTTAAATAGACAAGTTTCAGGAACTAGAAGCATTGGTATGAAAGTTTTATTCAGAAATTAGGTTTCTGTTTTTACTCAAATAATGTAATATGATGTAAAAATCTTAGATGTATGAATATTGTTTGTGGTATTTATATATTTCATGTTAATTTATTTCCCGAAGATGTCTTTTCTCACCTTTTCACCGCAGTCAGGGCCTAGCTATCAGCCTGTGATTTACCCTGGAAAACGCTTTGATATTAGCCTGACTTTTCCTCATCAGACAGAGCACCTCTGGGTTGTATCAATGAATTCATACATGCTTCATGATTGTAAATCACCTGCCGTTGATCTCAGTATAATTATGACAAGGAGTGAGTTATGTTGAAAAAACTTATCTAATACACTGCAGACCCCACCATGGGTGGCCCCCTGACCGCTCACTGAATTTCTGTGAGACCATTCTCATCTCCATTATGGCCGTATCACTTCATACCATGCATTGCATTTATCTTTTAACTATAAATTTCTCCTGTACTTAACCATACGCTCTTTAAAGGAAAGTGTCACCCGTAGCTGATGTTGGGTTTTCCCCGCTAAATGCATGGCACTGCCTCCCCCAGGTCCGGGTGTGACAAACATCTGTCCAGACCGTGTCCGCACACTTGCCGAGTGGCATGTGTTCTACCGGCTGCCTCGTGGTGCCTCTTCCCTCAGGGAGGGCCCTTAAGTGCAGACAAGTGTCCAGTAGCCGCTGCAGCCTTGGGGTCGGCGTCTGGCAGGGGTGGCGGCGAGGGGCCTGGGCTGAGAGGCAGGCCCCCCGGCAGCTGCCTGGCCCAGGGGCTCAGCAGGAGCTGCTCTCCAGAGCCCCCCTGCCAGGCCTGAGCCTCCCTCCCTCGGCCCCGAACACAGGCATCCCGGGGAGGAGGGGGACCTTGGGTGAAGTGCCCCTGGCCCCTGGGGCAGCAAGGCCTCCCCTGAGAGTGGCCTGGTGGCACGTCTCCTCATCCCCGTGGCTCGGCACACGCGTGAAGTGCTGGGGGCAGCCACGCAGAGTGTGGGCTCGGAGGAGGGACGGCCGTGGGACGGGGGCTGAGATGAGAGTCAGGGAGCCTGCCCCGGGCACAGGGAGCCCAGAGGCATGAAGACGCCGACGGTTTCAGACCTGCCAGTAGGTTTGCTGTCAGGAGAAGGGTAGAGTCGGTGGCCTGACCCTCAGGAGGGTCCGCTGTGCCGAGGGTTCAGACAGTTCTCTCGAGGGTGACGGGGACTCTTCTCGGAACTCTACATAAGGAGGGGTGTGTCTTGTTTGCAGTTTAGAACCATGAACTTGGCAGCTGTGTAAGCTTGGAACAGAGGAGGGGACTCGGGGAGAGCTTCGGGAGCTTCCGTGGGGGTGGTTGGAGATCCGAGATGAGAGCCTGAACCAGGCGGCACTCGTGGGGACGGAGGGCTGGGCTCAGGCAAGGGTGGGATTGAGCACACCTGGTGGCCGGCTGACTCCAGGAACCGGGGAGAGCCTGCCTCTCGCCCAGGTGTCCAGCTCAGCTGAGGGGCACCGTGCAGCTGAGGACCGGGGGGAGGAGGGGGCCTGGGGGTGGGAAGGGCGGGACGGGAGGGACCTGGTCGGCCCAGCGTGGAGGTGACCAGGGCAGTGGGCCCCGAGGCGGGGATCTTGGCTGGAGGTAAGAAGAGAGGGGAGAGACTGAGGGGCCAGATCCCCGACCCGGGACTGCGGCAGCGTGGCAGGAGCGGCCCTGGGCCCTGGTTGTTACAATACAAACACTGTGCAAGGTAGAAAACCAACAACACACTAAATACAGTCTTTTAAAAAAGGGAGGAAAGTGCCAGAATAAGGGTGGAGCTTCAAGTCAGCCTGCAGGCTTTTGGGTGGTGATGGGGCTGGGAGCTGGCTCCTGTGGGGACCAGGGACGTGTCAGGCCTGCTGGGCAGCGAGCTGGAGCTGATCCCTGCCTGGGACCCTGGGACGCACTGCCTCTCCAGCGGGAGAATCCCAGAAGCCGAGTCAGGGTGCGGTCAGGGGTCCGCAGCTGAGGAGCGAGTGTGCGGCAGACCAGTGCCTGGGGGCTCTCAGCACTGGGACAGCTGCCTGCGGGGGGCACGTCCATGGCCAGGCTCATGGGGAGGGTCACGACGCTGCCATGTGAGGGACACCCACCAGGGTACGAGAGAGAATTGTGTGATCAGGAAGACATTTCTAGAAATGGAACTGTTGTCTCTGAAATTTAAGTCTGTGAATGAAAGAGTGGCTTAGACAGTAGAAGAAAGAGCAAGAGGACGGGCTGAAGGGACTGTGTCCAGAGCACGTGGTGACCGAAGGGAAAAGGAGCGGACGGGCTGAAGGGACTGTGTCCAGAGCACATGGTGACCGAAGGGAAAAGGAGCGGACGGGCTGAAGGGACTGTGTCCAGAGCATACGGTGACCGAAGGGAAAAGGAACGGACGGGCTGAAGGGACTGTGTCCAGAGCATATGGTGACCGAAGGGAAAAGGAACGGACGGGCTGAAGGGACTGTGTCCAGAGCATACGGTGACCGAAGGGAAAGGAATGGACGGGCTGAAGGGACTGTGTCCAGAGCACACGGTGACCGAAGGGAAAGGAACGGACGGGCTGAAGGGACTGTGTCCAGAGCACATGGTGACCGAAGGGAAAAGGAACGGACGGGCTGAAGGGACCGTGTCCAGAGCATATGGTGACCGAAGGGAAAAGGAGCGGACGGGCTGAAGGGACTCTGTCCAGAGCATACGGTGACCGAAGGGAAAAGGAGCGGACGGGCTGAAGGGACTGTGTCCAGAGCATATGGTGACCGAAGGGAAAAGGAGCTAGAAGCGCATCTGGTGGCAGATGGCAGGTGACGGTGTTAAGTGTCACCTCCGCCCTGACAGTTTCAAGACTGCCCATGTGTTCATCTTTGCTGTTTTCCAGCCTTTCCCGTAAAGGGTGTGAGCTTTGGGGCTCCACACAGACACTGAGCGTTAAATTTCTGCCTTCAGACCCTAATCGCTTTGTTGTTGGCACAGACACGGTGAGTAACGGTCTAGATTTCATTCTGTAAGTATTTTTGTTGGAAGTAAACTTACTGTTTGCTTTAATCAGAATGTTGATTAAATTGTTTCAAGAATAAGAGCTTTACCCGCCTGCTTCCCCCCTTACTCTCCCTTCAGGGCCTCATCAGCCATGGCACCAGACAAGACGTGAGAGTCTCTCCCAGGTTGTTCAGGCCCCAGCAGCAGGGCATGAGGCCGGCGAAGGTGAACGTGATTGACTTTTCACCGTTTGGAGAACCAATATTCCTGGTAAGAGCGCCGGTTTTTTAAGCACCGACTCCTTCGCCGTGTCTGCTGGGACCCACCGCGCTCGGGGCCTCTCTCCTGAAGTCCCGGCCGTGTGGTCAGCGCAGCTCGTTCCATGAGGCTGTCGTCGGACCTTCTTCAGACGTTTTATTCTGACGCCGTTTTCGGCTTGTAGAACAGTTACAAGGACAGCACAGAGCGTCCCCCTCGCCCCCCACCAGCCTGAGTGTGCAGTGACGCACGTGCCGTGGCCAGGATGCTCCACCCCAGGGCTGGGTGTTGGTCTGCTGTAGCCCAGGTCAGTCCTGCTCTCTACGGGTCTGAGTGCAAGCCCGGAACTGTCCTGACAGTGTCCTTTGTGAGCAGCGTCGTGGCCCGGGTCGCGCGTCCCGTTCAGTCACTGTGGCTCCTCACCGCCTTCACTGGGACCGGCCTCAGCATCACACAGAGGGCCTAGGCGTCCCCTGTGGAGTCCGGGGACGTCTCCTCACGATTAGATGCAGGCCTTTCCTGACCATGGGGTCCCCCCTTCCCTGTCTGGTCAGCCAGGGCCTGGTGGGAGACGCACAGACCCTGAGCTGCCTGCTGCGTCTCAGCTCCCATGTCGGTCACCAGGCGGGTTCTGTCGCCCCGTCGTTAATTCCATGGGAGCTGTCGCTGGTCGGAAGACTGCCTTTCCTCCTTCGTGTGTATTTCTTGTCTAAACGTGGACACACGAGGCTTTTCACTGTCTTCAGTGCATCTCAGATTCGCTGCCTGCATTTATTCCACTGCTCAGATGGTCCCCCTGGGGGAAGGGGTCCCTGGAGGTGGTTCTGACATCGTTCCGGGAGCCCCTCTTTGCTTTCTGGCACAGGAACCCTCGGGATCAGCCATTATTCCAAGGAGTCCTGGCTCCTGTTAGGAGAAAAATACCTAGAAACCAAGACCTGGGCAGTCAGAAGTGCTTGTGTACAGGACATGGCATCGAGATCTCCTCTGGTCTCCATCTACTCACCACCCACCCGGCGTCGCACGCACACCCTAGTCCCCGGCTGGCCCAGGGTCCCCTCCACCCTCCCGACAGTGGGCACCTGGCTCTATTATGCATAAATCGGTTCATTTACTTTAGAAGCTTTCGTGATTGCTATATCTTGCCTCTGCTTTTTTTGAAAGATTAAATATGTGAAGAATTAAATATACTGAGTAAAAAGGAATTAAGTTTCCTTTTCCTAGGCTAAAAATTTAGTCTTTAACTAGGCCAACTGAGTTTTGTTTTATGGAAATTTCAATCCAAAAGGAATGTAAAGCCATATTATATGTGCAAACGTATGTGATTTTTAAAAAAAAGATGTCCGTCTTGCCAATCTTAATGTCCTACGCTTGAATCAGCAATATTCAGCTTTGTTAAAAATAAACACCTATTTATATGTTCACTGAATTCACCGATTATTAGCCCTTTTGGGGAGGGGCAAGGGGTACAAAGTGTATCAGAATCTCCAAACGCTCACCTTCGTGATTTGTGAGGACAAGATTTAATGTTACGATTTTATGTTTGGAAAACAAAATATAAACCAAATATTTTTGCTGTACAGCAGAAAAAGCTGATGTCCTGAAAATTTTCCTTGGCTACTGAGCTTGAGTAAAAAAGAGAAAAGAACTGTGATAAGGTTTCCCCGCCTCCCCCAGGCCGGCTGTTCTGACGGGAGCATCAGGCTGCACCAGCTGACGGCCGAGCACCCTCTCCTGCAGTGGGACGAGAGCACCCACGGCTGCGCCGTCATTGGCCTGCAGTGGTCCTTGACGAGACCGGCTGTGTTCCTGGTCCAGGACGACACATCCTGTGTGTATATTTGGGACCTCCTGGAGAGCGATCTGGGTCCTGTCGCCAAACAGCCCGTCTATCCGGACAGGTAAGTCTGATGAAACTCAGGATGAGCCCTCCTAGGTGTTTTTTTGCAGAAGCGTCACTGATGGTCTTTCTTACTTGATTTATGTATAAGGCCACCACGCTTTAAAGTATGGTTATTTATATTTAAATTTAAATATTAGTTTTATATTTATATATTTGAGTAAGATCTTAAAAAAACACTTTAAAGTGTGTTTGTTTCATATTTAGTCGAAAATAGTCTAAGGATCAAAGAATTCTATTATCTATCGTTTATTTATTTATTTATATTGAGGTATAATTGATGTAAAACATATTGGTTTCAGGTGCACAACATAATGATGCGAAGTTTGTATATATTGTCTTATGATACGTCTGTCACCTTACATAGTTCCAGAAGTTTTTTCTTGTGATGAGAACTTTTAATATTTACTCTCATCAACTTTCAAATATGCAATACAGTGTTATTAACCATAGTTGCCATGTGTACACTGCGTCCCATGGCTTGTTCATTTTATAACTGGAAGCTTGTACCCCTTTGCCCGTTTGGTCCACGCCCCACCCCCTTCCTTTGGCAACCACCAGGCTGTTCTCTGTCTGTGAGCCTGTTTTGTGTGTGTATGTGTGCAGGGTGGAGGTGGGGTTTCACACAGAAGTGAGATCACATGGTGTTTGTCCTTCTCTGTCTAACTTATTTCACTTAGCGTAATGCCCTCAAGGTCCATCCATGTTGTCACAAATGGATTTCCTTTTTTATGGCTGAATAATATTCCACATGTATATGGATATATATATATATATATATATATATATATACACACACACACACACACACACACACACATATATAAATACATATATACAAAACATATTCTTTATCCATTCATCCCTTGATGGACACTTAGGTTGTTTCCATGTCTTGGCTCTTGTGAATAATGCTGCACTGGACATGGGAGTGCAGATATCTCTTCGAGATAGTGGCTTCATTTTCTTTGGATAAATACCCAGGAGTGGAATTGCTGGATTGTATGTTGGCTCTATTTTTAATTCTTGAGAAACCTCCACACTGTTCTCCCTTGTGTCTGCACCAATTCACATTCCCACCAGCAGTGCAGGAGGGCTCCCTTTTCTCCACACCCTCTCCAGCATTTGTTATTTCTTATCTTTTTGATGATGGCCATTCTGACAGGTGTGAGGTGATAGCTCATTGTGGTTTTGATTTGCATTTCCCTGGTGATTAATGATGTTGAGCGTCTTTTCACTTGTCTGTTGGCCATCTGTGTGTCTTCTTTGGAAAAATTTCTATTTAGATCTTCTGCCCATTTTGTAATTGGATTGCTTGGTTTTTTTGCTGCTGAGTTGTATGAGATCTTTATGTTTTGGTTATTAACCCCCTAACAGATGTATGATTGGCAAGTACTTTCTCCCATTCTGTAGGTTGCCCTTTCATTTTGTTCCTGGTTTCTTTTGCTGTGCAGAAGCTGCTTCGTAGTCCCACCTGTTTGCTTCTGTTGCCTTTGCTTTTGGAGCCAGATCCAAACAGTCATCCCCAGGCTGATGCCAAGGAGCTCTTCCCCCCTATGTTTTCAGCGTTTCTCCTCTTCCTGCTCCCCCCTGGGAAGGTGGGTAATCGGGAGACTCGGGGTCACATGGCGTGTGCTTCTCGATTTCAGGCTGGTGGCCATGACTGTTGTGGGTGAAGCAGAGAAGACCCGCAGTGGCTTCCTGGCCCTGGTGCTGGCCAGAGCCTCAGGCGACGTGGACGTCCAGTACTTGCGGCGGGAGTGGGTGGCCCCGGCGGGCGACGAGCTGCAGAGGCTGCGGCTGCTGCTGCGGGAAGCCCTGTAGGTCGTGGGACGCCGCGAGGAAGCCGTGTGGTGACCCCGATGTTACAGCTGATGGGTGTACATTCGTGTAGATAGAAGGCGTGTGTCTGTCCAGAGTTCATTTTTCAAGAATCTCACTTCAATATGCCATAAATAAATTATTATTTTTGAATGGAAACAGCAGACATTTTAGTGTATACTGAACTTCAAAGGCAACAGAGAGCCAGGTAGGATGCTCTTTTCCAAGAATATTTCTACTGATTTTCAGAGCAGCTTTAAAATATTGTAACATTTATTACTAGATTTTTAAAAAATCCAAATAAAAATGTATTTAATGAACAGTTTTCTTAGTCATACGTAAAATGACATATTCACAGGTTTAAATTAAAGGACTGACTCTGCTGAAATGACCTCCCACCTGTGTTTCTTTAATACTTTGTTGGACTTTTATGCTGGTAATGTTGGGATGTCTGTTCAGACACATTTGCACTATGCTTTATTATTAAAAATTAGTTTTGTCTAAAGATGATGCAAATATATAAATTCTCTTAATTGTACAGCTATAGGGATTTAAGGGCAGGAGAATTCTGGGGTGTCAGGCTTTGCCTACACCCAGTGTCACTGACACAGTGACAGGTGAGCATTCAGTGCGGGGCAGGTTTGTTCTCTCTGGGCCACATGTGGCTGCTGCTTCACCAGCGATGGGACGGTTTCACCCCAGAAATGGGACCAGGCAGAGAACAGTCAGGCTCCTAGGGCCTGGGGCACCCTCAGCAGGCCAGCACCCAGCGCCGTTCACCGAGTTTCTCATGAATCCCTAAACTTCCCATCGTCCTCTTAGGATGCTGCACCCTGCCTACACCTCAGAACTGCGGCGCTCCAGACGACGCGACCTGCGGGCTGGGAGGCGTTGGGCCTTGACGGCCCACCGTGGGGTCCATGCGGGCCCCCTGCGCTCGCCTCCTGCGCCACTGGGGCTCGGCGCCCGGCACGCCTCGTGTCCAGCGCCGCGGGGTGAAGAGGGGTCGGGCGGTGTCGGGGGTCTGGGCGCTCACCTGGACGGTGTCCAGTGGGTGCCTCCCGTGGCTGACCCTCGCGGCAGCCCCCCACCCCAGCGGCTCCCCGGGGGTTTCTCGCGGGTCCCGTCCAGGGTCTCCTCCACCCAGGTTTGGGCTCCGTCCTCGGGACACGCGGACCCGCCCGCCGAGGCCTTTGCTCCTTCCGCGCGACCGGTCCCGGGAAACAGCAAACGAGAGTGTCGTGTCGTGTCGTGTCGTGTCGTGTCAATTCCCAGGGAACCAACAGAGTCTGAGACGGGTGGAAGTGAACAGTGCAAAGCAGAGGCCAGAGAGGGCGACCCCCGTTCAGGCGACGCTCCCCAGACCCGCATCCAGCTCCCCGCCCCCCCTCCCCGCAGAGACCGGGACCTGGTCGCGCGGACCGCCACGCGGGACCTGCCCCGGAGCCCCGGAGTCCGCTCCACTGCCCGGGTCAGCAGCAGCCTCCCGCAAGGCCAGCTCCACTGGGCTGAGCCGAACTGACCGGAACCTCTAAATCCATCGGGAATATTTAATTTATGTACAGTGGTGTAGAATAGAAGAATTCTCTTAAATATGATGGTACCATCTTAAAATTATAAAATGGGATATTACCGGGTTTTTTTTAATTGGAGTAAAATTGCTTTACAATGTTGTGTTAGTTTCGGCTGTACAATGAAGTGAATCAGCTATATGCCTACATATATCCCCTCCCTCTTGTACCTCCCTCCCCCCGTTTCCCCCCCATGTAGGTCATCACAGAGCACTGAGCTGAGCTCCCTGTGCTATACAGCAGGTTCCCACTAGCTAGCTATTTTACACATGGTAGTGTATATATGTCAATCCTGATGTCCCAATTCATCACACCCTCCCCTTACCCCGCTGTGTCCACATGTCCATTCTCTATGTCTGCATCTCTATTCCTGCCCCACAAATAGGTTCATCTGTACTATTTTTCTAGATTCCACATATATGCATTAATATACAGTATTTGTTTTTCTCTTTCTGGCTTACTTCACTCTGTATGACAGACTGTACGTCCATCCACGTCTCTACAAATGACCCAATTTCATTCCTTTTTATGGCTGAGTAATATTCCATTGTATATATGTACCACATCTTCTTTATCCATTTATCTATTGTTGGACATTTAGGTTGTTTCCATGTCCTGGCTATTGTAAACAGTGCTGAAATGAAGATTGGGGTACATGTGTCCTATTGAATTATAGTTTTCTCAGGGTATATGCCCAGTAGTGGGATTGCTGGGTCATATGGTAGTTCTAGTTTTAGTTTTTTAAGGAACCTCCATACTGTTCTCCATAGTGGCTGTGTCAATTTACATTCCCACCAACAGTGCAAAAGGGTTTCCTTTTCTCCGCACCCTCTCCAGCATTCATTGTTTGTAGATTTTTTGATGATGGCCATTCTGACCGATGTGACGTGATACCTCATTGTAGTTTTGATTTGCATTTCTCTAATGATTAATGATGTTGAGCATCTTTTCATGTGCCTCTTGGCCATCTGTATGTCTTCTTTGGTGAAATATCTATTTAGGTCTTCCACCCATTTCTTAATTGGATTGTTTGTTTTTTTGATATTGAGCTCATGAGCTGTTTGTATATTTTGGAGATTAATCCTTTGTCCATTGCTTCATTTGCAAATATTTTCTTCCATGCTGAGGGTTGTCTTTTTGTCTTGTTTATGGTTTCCTTTGCTGTGCAAAAGCTTTTAAGTTTCATTAGGTCCCATTTGTTTATTTTTGTTTTTATTTTCATTACTCTAGGAGGTGGGTCAAAAAAGATCTTGCTGTGGTTTATGTCAGAGACTGTTTTTCCTATGATTTCCTCTAAGAGTTTTATAGTGTCTGGACTTGCATTTAGGTCTTTAATCCATTTGGAGTTTATTTTTGTGTATGGTGTTAGGTAGTGTTCTAATTTCATTCTTTTACATGCAGCTGTTCAGCTTTCCCAGCACCACTTATTGAAGAGTCTGTCTTTGCTCCATTGTATGTTCTTGCCTCCTTTGTCATAGATTAGGTGACCATACGTGCATGGGTTTATCTCTGGGCTTTCTATCCTGTACCGTGGATCTATATTTCTGTTTTTGTGACAATACCATAATGTCTTGATTACTGTAGCTTTGTAGTATAGTTTGCAGTCAGGTTGCCTGATTCCTCCAGCTCTGTTTTTCTTTCTCAAGATTGCTTTGGCTATTCAGGGTCTTTTGTGTCTCCATACAAATTTTAAGATTTTTTAATTCTAATTCTGTGAAGAATGCCATTGGTAGTTTGATAGGGATTGCACTGAATCTGTAGATTGCTTTGGGTAGTATAGTCATTTTCACAATATTGATTCTTTCAATCCAAGAACATGGTATAGTATATTTCTCCATCTGTTTATGTCATCTTTGATTTCTGTCATCAGTGTTTTATAGTTTTCTCAGTACAAGTCTTTTACCTCCTTAAGGTAGGTTTATTCCTAGGTATTTTATTCGTTTTTTTGTGATGGTAAATGGGATTGTGTCCTTGATTTCTCTTTCTGGTTTTTCATTGTTAGTGTATAGGAATTCAAGAGATTTCTGTGCATTAATTTTGTATCCTGCAACCTTACCAAATTTATTGATTAGTTCTAGTAGTTTTCTGGTGGCATCTTTAGGATTTTCTATGTATAGTATCATTTCATCTGCAGTGACAGTTTTACTTCTTTTTTTCCAATTTGCATTCCTTTTATTTCTTTTTCTTCTCTGATTTCTGTGGCTAGAACTTCCAAAACTTTGAATAAGAGTGGTGAGAGTGGACATCCTTGTCTTGTTCCTGATCTTAGTGGAAATGCTTTCAGTTTTTCAACACTGAGTATGATGTTTGCTGTGGGTTTGTCATATATGGCCTTTATTATGTTGAGGTAGGTTCCCTGTATGCCCATTTTCTGGAGAGAGTTTTTATCATAAATGGGTGTTGAATTTTGTCAAAAGCTTTTTCTGCATCTATTGAGATGATCATATGATTTTTATTCCTTAATTTGTTAATATGGTGTTTCACATTGATTGATTTGCATGTATTGAAGAATCCTTGCATTCCTGGGATAAATCCCACTTGATATGGTGTATGATCCTTTTAATGTGCTGTTGGATTCTGTTTGCTAGTATTTCATTGAGGATTTTTGCATCTATGTTCATCAGTGATATTGGTCTGTAGTTTTCTTTTTTGTGACATCTTTGTCTGGTTTTGGTATCAGGGTGATGGTCACTTTGTAGAACGAATTTGGGAGTGTTCCTTCCTCTGCCATTTTTTGGAAGAGTTTGAGAAGGATCAGTATTGTCTCTAAATGGTTGATAGAATTTGAATGTGAATGTGAAGCCATCTGGTCCTGGACTTTTGTTTGTTGGAAGATTTTTAATTACAGTTTCAATTTCATTACTTGTCATAAGTCTGTTTATATTTTCTAATTCTTCCTGGTTCAGTCTTGGAAAATTGTACCTTTCCAAGAATATTGGCATATAGTTGTTTGTAGTAGTCTCTTATAATCCTTTGTATTTCTGTGATGTCAGTTGTGATTTGTCCTTTTTCATTTCCAATTTTACTGATTTGTGTCCTCTCTCTTTCTTTCTTGATGAGTCTGGCTAAAGGTTTATCAGTTTTGTTTATCCTCTCAAAGAACCAACTTTCAGTTTTATTGATCTTTGCTATTGTTTTCTTCATTTCTATTTCATTTATTTTTGCTCTGATATTTATGATTTCTTTCTTTCTACTGACTTTGGGTTTTCTTTGTTTCTTGTTCTCTCGTTGCTTTAGGTGTAAGGTTAGATTGTTTACTTGAGATTTTTCTTGTTTCTTGAGGTGAGATTGAATTGCCATAAGCTTCCCTCTTAGAACTGGTTTTGCTACATCCCATAGGTTTTGGGTCGTCGTGTTCTTATTGTCATTTGTTTCTATGTATTTTTTTAAAAAATTTATTCTTTGATTTCTTCAGTGATACCTTGGTTATTT